GGGCTGGAGCGCGGCTGCGGCCGGGGCCCCGGCATCCACTGTTTGCTCAGCCTGCCCCAGCGGGGGAAAGCAAACAGGCCAAGGTCAGAGCAGAGGGGAAAAGGGCAGAGACGCTCTCCCACCCAGCAGCCCCCACAGCCCATGCTGAGCTGGGTGTGTGTGGGAGGGACAGGGCTCTCCATGTGTGCAGGCAGCTCCAAAAGCCGCTGGCCGAGCCTTTGCTGCAAGCAGCTTCCTGGCCAGGGTGCAGGTTGGGCAGCAGTTCAGAGACCAGGGGGGACAGCAGGCTAGGAACTAGGAACCAGTTTTGAGGTCCTGCCACGCTTATTTCATAGCAAACCTCATGGTATTCAAGCCCCCAGCCTCCGTCTGAAGGCGAGGCCGTTTCCCAGTCTAGTCTCGACAGGACAAAATCCCTAACAAGAGGGGACAGGGGAGCAGTGCTCAGCAGGCAAAGGGAAAAGCCCTGGGCTTATGCTTGCCCAAAATGTCACCATTTTGGAGGACTTGCTGTTGGGATTTCAGCTTTCTCTACGTCAGCAAGGCTGGGAGCAGACCTGGGGAGCCCCAAGGCATGGCGGCTCAGGATGGGGCAGGTGCCACCTCTGTGCATGGGGACCTGGGGCCAGAGGTGAGCGGCCGGGAGGAGGGAGGGAGAGCCGGAGCCCTCTGCACTTTCACTGCAGTAGGCAAACAAAAGCCTGTGTATTTTGCTCCCATCATTCCCCTTCAACCAATCTTTTCAGTTACTAATTAATGTTGACTCAGCTCTTTCGGCAGCTCCTGATAACTCCGGGATATTTATTTAATCAAGGGCAAGGAGCAAACCCACACGAGGCTATGGAGATATGGCCTCTGGCTGCCTCCGCTGGGGCAGGAGCTCCGTGGGGTCCGTCCCAGGCCCGGGGCGGGAGCAGCACAGCTCTGGGCTTTAACAGGTGACAGAAGATTTGGGGAGAGAAGAAACGGAGCAGGGTGCCTGCTTCTCCAGTGACCTTGCCTCTGCCAGGTGGGACACAGGCAGTTCCCAGCATCAGCTGCTCCCACCCTTGCCAGAAAGAGCTTTGATTTGGTGTTGAGAAAGGCATTTCCACGCAGAACTGAGGGCAGCCACCAGACATGGGCTGTTGGGGCAGGACTTCTGCAGCCCCTTTACCCCAATCCTTGCCCCTGGGCTCAGCTATGGCAGGGCTGGTGGTGGCCCTGGGTGCAAGCACCAGCCCAGTATTGCACTAAAGTTTCATCTCATCCCTGTTGAACTAAGCCTGCGGGACAAGAGCCCTGAGAGGGCTCAGGCTTGCGGGGAGGCTTGGGGAGAAGTGCTGGGCTGTGTCTGAGCTACTTTTGCTGATCGGTTGAGACAAAGCCGCTCCCTCCTGCTGCTCCGGGCTCCCGACCACCAGCAACCGCAGATCCACCAAGGCTCAGCGAGCCCTTCCTTGGCTGCTGTGCTCAAAGCATGGCAGGAGGAAACCCCAGGAGAGGGGCTGGTTCGGGTATCGGGGTCCTGGGGAGCCCTTGCAGCTGGGGATTGAGCAGAGCCAGTGAGGATTGCTCAGGCGATGGGGCTGATCCCTCAGGGCAAGGCTGGGAATCCCTGCCATTCCCAGAGCCCAGGCTGCTAGTGCTGGAAATCCCTCTCAAAAAAAACCAAAGCAGAGCAAAACTAAAGCAAAGCAAAACAAAAGCAAAACAAAGCTCAGATCTCTGGGCTTGTCAGTACAAGCCTAAGGGAATGGTTTGAATTCTGCCCCCCCTCCAGGCAGCAGCCTTCTCCAAGGGAGCAAACCCCTCTGCTGTGCTGCCTTGCAACAGCCCGTATCGTTACCCCTGCTTAATAATAATTTATCGGGAAAATCCTTACTAGTTCTGCGCCGAGCTTCTGCTGCTGTACTGTGCCGCCCGGGTCGCCTTGTTTACCACCCTTCGCAGTGAGCTAATGTCTCTTTCCTCTGTCTGTCCCTGCGTAGTGGATTCAGAGAGGATTAAAAGCAACTCTGTCGCATCAAAACATCAACTTGAATTTAAGTCTCTGTCTGAGCTGGCAACAACCTGGTTTTGGAGCCAAGGATTTAAGCTGCTCCTCCCAACACAGGCAAGAAGTGTCCAAAGCATTTCTGCCCTGAGCACGTCTGGCCTGGAAAAAAAAGAAAATAAAAGAGGCCCAGGCTGCCTCTGCTCTTTCTTTTATCATGCAAATCCCGAGCCCACCCAGAAGAGCTGCTCTGAATTTCCGCCTCCCAAGGGGAATTATTTACCCCCCTCCACTGATACCCAACAGGTTCAAAACGCAGTGCCAGGACAGCCACAACCACGCCATGATCACGGTCATGGCCACCACGGTGCCTGGCTCTCTGCTTCTACCCTGTACCCCTTCACCGGTCACCTGGGGGTCCCCGCCTGCCGTGGAGGTGACAACAGGCTCTGCAGAAGCTCGGGCAAGGGGGGAACATGGGATATGGGAACAGTGGGACAAGCACCAGCTCAGGCTGGGCAGGCGGAGGGCTGTGATAGAAGAGGTCTGGGGGGATGCCAGAGCATCTGCAGCGAGGAGGGGGATGCTGCTGCCCAGAGATGAGCCCCTCCTTAGAAAGGCGGCGCCTGCGCGGGGTGACATCAGCCCCTGAGGACCAGAGATGCTGAGCCTGGCTCTGGGAAGGCGGCTCCTGACACTGCTTCCAGCTCCGCAT